TATATATATATCTTTATAAAGATCTGGCTGGCTTGGGCCAAGAACCACACAGGAGATTACTCTGTGCCCCTATGGGCCAGTGCAGCCTCACATAATGCCTAATGTTTCCACAAGGTGCCAAAACAAATGTGTTATTGTAATTACCAAAATATTAGCAAGATGTTTCTAAAGCAGTAAGTACATCTTAGAGCCAAAAAAATTAAATCCACTGGTCCAAATAATAATAATCCAATATAATTATTTATAATATGTATGTAGTGATGCATACGCTTCTTGTATTTTGGAGAAATTTGGACCACAATGCAGGAGAGACTGACCTATCTTTGTAAAATGCATGTGTATCAACATCCTATCCAAACCCTCTTTACTCTGGAAAAGCTCAGATCTGGTTTCAAATATCATGATTAAACCCCATTCTAAATTGTGTTTCATGTGCCAGAATAAGCTAGTTAACTCAGAAAAGTCCCGAGAATAGCAGGCATTGTTTACCACTTATTCACACATAACACAGTAACTACTGTATAGCGTTCAACTTACTAAAAGCCTAACAAGTGACCCCTTCCTTTAAAATGCATGATCAAGACACAAACTGCACGAACACAACCTAACTATAATGAAGATTTTTTTTAAAAAAAGCAGAAGTGATATTAGTTTCGTTTTTTAACATTACAGAGAGTTTCCTAGAACCTCTGCTCCATGACTCAGCAATTTTCAGGCTGGTTATTTATTGTGAGAGGACACCCAGCCTATGTGGGGCAGAGGTAAATCAAAACAAATCTCAGGGGAAACTCAAATAAAGCTTCTGAAGCTGTGGAAGGAAGCAAACGGGGCTGGGTGAATATGGGTAATGTTGTATAGAAAGGGAAAAGCTTGAGAAATGCATTTTCAACTAAAACAGTCCCTAGGGGAAAAAAATGGCAAATGAATTTTAATGTTGTTAAATGCAAAGTAATGCACATTGGAAAAAAATAGTCCCAACTATACATACAAAATGATGGGGACTAATTTAGCTATTACCACTCAAACAAAAAACAGGACTATGTAGCACTTTAAAGACTAACAAGATGGTTTATTAGGTGATGAGCTTTCGTGGGCCAGACCCACTTCCTCAGATCAAATAGTGGAAGAAAATTGTCACAACCATATATACCAAAGGATACAATTAAAAAAATGAACACATATGAAAAGGAAATATGTTCAGATGTGTTCATTTTTTTAATTGTATCCTTTGGTATATATGGTTGTGACAATTTTCTTCCACTATTTGATCTGAGGAAGTGGGTCTGGCCCAAGAAAGCTCATCACCTCATCTTGTTAGTCTTTAAAGTGCTACATAGTCCTGTTTTTTGTTTCAGCTAAATCAGACTAACACGGCTACATTTCTATCACTATTACCACTCAAGAGAGAGATCTTAGAGTCACTGTGGATAGTTCTCTGAAAACAGGCCTGTACACAGGAATTTGTGTGGGGGTGATTTTTTTGTAAATGTGGACTGCAAGAGTTTAAATACACCCCCCTCCCATGGTTTCCCAAGTAAGCAGGGAAATCAGCCCCAGCCTTCCCCCAGCCAGCCAGAGCATGGGGGAAGGAGGCTCAGGTAGCATGCCACTCCCTTTCCATGGATAGCTGGATCATGCTTACTTGGGGGAGCATAGGAGAGTGCTTTTGCACCTTTTGCACACACCCTGCGTACAGGCCTGGAAAACATCCACTCGATGTGCAGCAGCCGGCAAAAAAGCAAAGAGAATGTTAGGAATAACTTTAAAAGGGACAGAAAATATCTTATTGCCTTAAAAATCCATGGTGTGCCCACATCTTGAATACTGTATACAAATGTGATCGTCTCATCTCAAAAAAAGCAAGCTATATTGGCATTGGAACAGGTTCAGAAAAGGGCAAAAAAATTTTAGGGGCTTGGAATGGATGCCATATACAGAGAGATTAAAAAGACTGGGGCTTTTCAGTAGAGAAAAAAGGAGACTATGGGTTTACAAAATCATGACAGATATGGACAAAGTGAATAAGGAAAAGTTATTTACTGGTTCCCATAAGAACTAAAGGTCACCAAATGAAATTAATAGGCAGCAGGTTTAAAACAAAAAAAAAAAAGGAAGTTTCTCTTCACAGAGTGTACAGTCAACCTGTGGAACTCCTTGCCTGAGGATGTTGTGAAGACCAGGACTTTAAGAGGGTTAAAAAAAAGAGCTAGATAAATTCATGGAAGTTAGGTTCACTAATGGCTATTAGCCAGGGTGGGCCGGAGTGGTGCCCCCCTAACCTGTGTTTGTCAGAGGCTGGAAAGGGATGGCAGGAGAGGGATCGCTTGACCATTACCTGTTCTGTTCATGTGCCGAAAGTGTCCGTCTGCTATGTACATTGGACAAACATCTCAGACACTTCGCCAAAGGATTAATGCCCACAAAACAGATATCAGACAAGATCACAAAGAGAAAACAGTTTCTTGCCACTTTAACCAGAAAGGACACTCTCTAAATGACTTAGCCACCTGCATTCTGCTACAAAGACCTTTTACATCTGCACTTGAAAGGGAATCCTCTGAACTGTCATTCATGTTAAAATTCGACACTTACCAACAAGGACTTAACAAGTCTTTGAACTTTCTCACCCATTACCAAGACAGTTTCC